GTGTTATCGCCGCTCTCCTCGCACGCGTGGTAGGTCGTGTCAGAAATTGGGCCACGGACTCGGCTGGATTGAGGCAGCTAAACGGCGTTGCCTGTTGTGACGATGATGGTCGATAGGCATCAGGATACAAATGTGTGCTAGAACAATCCGCGGTGTTTTATCTCGCAGTGGAATAAATTTGTGCCTGCCTAAAAGCGTTGCATTTCAAGCATTTGCCGCGCAGAAATGGTAGACATGATGGGCTACTAAGTCGTCGTACCAAATGATGTATTCACCTCCCCATATGATCAGATGATTAGGTTTGCTTTGTATCCAATCAACTCTCGTATCACGTGTTGTCATGGCCACCAATTAGCAGACGAATATTATTGGTTCGCTAACACAACTGCATCGGTGGGACTATCACAACTTCGACTGATGCAGGAAAGCGGACAAGATGGTTACTGCAGAGGGGAGCATCGATACTAAATTAACATCGGAGAATCGTGACCGCGTGACTACTCATCACTGCCGCAGTTGAAATGGACATGCACAAGCGAATTTGCCTACCTCCAGTGACTACATCACCACGTCAATACGAAAACGTGAATGCTTCGAGAACCAGTCAGTCACTAGTCTATGCCACATGAACGAAACATCAGAGGGCCCGACAGTAGCACAGCAACCCAACCGACGGCGCTCTAAGTATCCCCCAAGCAACACAGACACTCAGACGAAGTGGATAACAAGTTCGGCGAGCGCATCAAGACAAGGACATAAAATCAGGAAGACACGTGCAAGGGCTCTTCAGCGACAACGACATGAAATTAGGCACAATATTGCCTCACAACTAGGCAGTGTTTTCCACTAAATCAACCGAGGCATCAATTAAACAAGAACAACAACAACACCACAATATAATTCCGAAGCAGACTCTGCAATTTAACAGCGACAAACTTGGCTTAGGAGGAAAAGGCGCTGCACGGCAGAGCACATACCATCTGCGTGACCATGAAGGCGTGCTTGAAGTTGTGGAACTGTACAGCGTTGTAGTTGGCGTAGACGACGCACAGCCAGGCATCCAAAACCTCCTCAGGAATACCGCAAAGTCGCGTCAGTTGCAGGCGTTCATCGCACAACTCAGAATCGGTGGTGTCGCCGGTGAAGAAGAATCGCACGAATCGCAACAGCTGGGCGTCCGAGTGGGACCAGTTGTTGAAGGTCGGCTGTCTCAGCTGTAGCCGCACTTCTGCAGGGAGGCTGTTTCGTCTACGAGAGGAATAAACACGTGACTAGGTCTCACCACTTCGGTGGAGTGTGGAAAAGACGGTGAGGAAGAAGGACTGGTGGAGAGAGATGCCAATTGCGTCACAAATCCAGTCTTGTTAATCACGTGTGCGCCTCGAAGCGGACAAACGTCAACCACTAGCGGCGCAGGGCTGCGCACTTCCGCCAAACCCATTGCAGGACGCCAATCGACCTTGTGGGTGCCATCGCCTCATGACGCAATTAAAGCCATCGCGCATACCAAAAACCACCCCTGCACACCTGCAAATACGAGGCGCACATGACCACGCTAAACCCCTCTGTACTGTTCACAGACCCTTCACGGAGTGAAGGCAACTCATAGAGTTGGCAGCAGTCAGGCACAAAACACGCCAGTTCTAAGCACAATTTGCGTGGGTGACTCGGCGGTGTCTGAGAAATGCGAGGTGTCATGTGACATACCCTGCTTAGTTGTTCATCGTCGCCCACAGCCAACTCCACACACCGTGTTTACTGACATGTCGTAGGCTTTCGCGTCGTCAAGCGCCTACACACCCTCGAGTTAACACTGATAACGCTGGTAATGAAAACTGACTTTCCACTGACAAACCCATATCCCTGGAAAGGAAGTCATTTGGAAAAAGCTACATTTCTGCCGGCACCATCACTACTGCTTCATAAGGACATGATAACCATTTGGCGGTTACATCACGATATCACAAATTTCGAGACGGTTGCCAGAAGAACAGCCTTTCGAAAGTAACCATTTTGGAAAATGGTACGGAAGTGGTGTTGAGGAGGGTTATCCCTGAGGGAGGGTATCGCATCAACGAATCTGGCTGTTTCTACTACAACCTAACCTCAGCAGAACTGCGGCCGCATCGCAAGCAAATTAACTTACCTTGACAAGTAGAACTCCTGCCACACGGCGAGACAGGTCTCCCGGGATTGTCTGATGGAGGAGAGGGAGGGGTTGGGTGGGGCACCCGTCCGCACGCCAGGTGTGACAACATCACAAGCGCCAAGCGCAGCATCCACGGTGGACAGGAAAGCCGCCAAGCCGTCCTCCTGCATAGGAACGTCCGACGGGGCAATCGGACGAGCGGGAACAGGTGGGCATCGATGGGGAGGTGCGGAGGCAGTGGTTGCGGGATGCGCGTGGTGGTGGAGGTGATGGTGGATCCAGTTTCTATCAGCGGGCGGTCGACAGAGGGAGCCGGCAGAGGGGAGGAGGGGAAGGCGGAGGGAGGGGTGACTGCTGACCGCGGCGGTGGCACCTTCACCGGACGCTGTGGCTTCACGAAAAACCTACGAAAGTGGATTATTTGAGCTTGCAAACTAATATCTCCACGAACTAAACCTATCAACAAGAAATAACGACTGTATGCAAGCAAACGATGTGGGTTGAAACACGATCGCGTACACCTTTGTCCTCGGATTTGGACTGATTCCATTAAGGTCATTTTAAGGTCAGCCCAGAGGATTGTTAAAGTACTTTTAATAACCAAGTACGCTTGATATGCATTCATTGATCAATACCGCCAATTAGTCGTGCGAGGTTGGTTCATGTAAACCAGAGGATTCCAACACAGAGTGAGTAGATCTGGCTTGATGCTGGATTGGTGATGGCGTTGTGTGTTTGCTTGATCTCTCTTGCATAGAACAATGCGCAGACGCAGCTCTCGATGTGCTACAACACACTGTCGCCGCTCGAGAACCACCACTGCGCGGTCGCCTTCGAACTCGTCCACACGCCGGCCACCAACATCTTCGTCAACTTCTGCGACAAGGAGTTCGCCACTGTGCGTCAGAACACTGTTCGGTGAGTTGCGAAAAGCGTTCTGTTATCGCTCCGTTCTTGCCATCTCCAAATGGCCCTCGCTCAGTCCTTGGGGGTGGCTGTCGTCAGATGGAGTGAGTGATTGGACGCGCGCGGGTGCTTGCCAAGGAATGTGCACTCGCATTGTTAATCGTCGGCATCTCGCGTGGCTAGGGATTGGGTTGGGGGTTGAGCCAAGTGCATCCTCCTTCCGCTGTACGCGGGGAACAAACAATCTCGCCCATTTATTGTGCCCGTTTGGAAGGTGGTGTGAAGTTGTACTTTTAGCCCCACGGATCGTTTCCTAAGCATTCAGTGCCATTGTTGTTCTTCAGCGGCTAACGTAGCCTCTAGCACAACCACACAGCCCACCGAGTAAGACGATGTTGGTTCGGAAGTAGAGCTGGGATTGGGCTGTCTGCAGTTGCGGTAGGGGATTCGCTGATCGGAGGAGTTGAAGTGGGCAGCAGGAAATCACCACAAGAGTCCTCTTCATTTGGCCAACTTCCATGCAGAATTAGTTATGGTGTGTGGAATTCGACACTCCCAGGCACGACGTGATTAACTTGAGAGAGTTTTGCGATGTGACAGCGGTAGAACCCAAGGTGAGACGTCGACTGCCCATGCATCCACCTGACATGATGCGTCACTGTTGACTGTATGTGGGTGTGCGTGTGTGTGTGGGCGTAATTATAGGGTGTCTGTGATCGTGAACGAATGAGAGCTGAGGGTGAGTCACGGGCGCTAGCCAACCTCGGATAATCATCAAGAGCGTCATGGTGCCAAGTGGCGCACTCCACCACTCACACACGCAAACACGCACAAGCACGTAACCTGATTGGTCCCTTCTGCTTCCTCAGGTACATTTTGGGCACGGACATGGCCAAGCACACGGACATTCTGGAGGCGTTCACGGCGAAGATGGTGGAACACTCGCTTCGTGGCGAGAACTCCGAGGACAATCAGTCGGTGACCACCGTCGACGCGGTTAACGGCGTCACCGCTCCGAACTTCTCCCAGTTGGCAGCCATCTTTGACGACGACGACGAATCGCACACTCTGACAATGGTCGTGTTGCTGAAGATGTGCGACATTTCGACTGAGATTCGACCTGATGAAGTTGCCCAGCCCTGGTTGGATGGCCTGATAAATGAGCTCGCAGCCCAGGTATGTGCCTTGGCCAGCGGCCACTCTGGTCAAATTACACACCCATTTGTCTTGTTCACTTCTTGTGGTTTTTCCCACAACCTGCTTGTCTGTGTGGTTTTCGTCTATCGCCCCTTGTTCTCCGCGTGGCAACGTGCGCGTTCACCCTCTTGTGCTTATTGCAGGCGCGTCTCTTATGGGATATTTTTGGCTTTCGCGCTCACCCACACGTACACATGACGCAAATTGCAATTTTTTAACCGCTGACGTCACAGGCTTTTTTTCAATGCACTGGCCCCTTACCAACTCCGCGCGACGCGCACGTGTCGGCGGTGGCTGCTGCGGTGGTCGCTGGGTGGGAGGCGTTGTGTCCCCCCTCGTTTGTGGTCTCATCGAGGGTTCACGGGGGTTGGCAGTTGATAATGTGTCCAAGTTAGCGAGGACGAGATTTTGCTCGATTTTTCAGTTCTGGCTGTGTTTTAGGAAGTCCTCTCTTACAGCTTCTGGGCCTCTACAATTTCGATGTAGTTTGTGTTCTTTTGCTTCGTCGGTCAGTGTGAAGGGAACGTCGAAGTGTCGGGGCGGGTGTTGATGCGCGTTCAAACCCTGACAAGCACCTCGACTCCAATGACCCACAACTTAGCAACTCAGGCTAGCCCTAGTGAGCGCTGACCTTGCGAGACGCTGCCGCCTGGTGTGTGTGTGCGAGTGTGTGTGTGACATGTGACAAGAAGACGCACGCGTAGTTTAATCAGGCTAAAAATAACAAGAAGGCGCAATCGTTGGGTGTGCTTCGTCGAGTAGTGTGTGTGTGTGTGTGATCGTGTGCGTTTGTGTGTATCTGAGCACGTGCTGTCGTCTTGGGAGTCTCCACACCCACGATCACACGCTGCCAGCTACCTGCTCGTGCACCACTCTGCTCAGCCTGTGGAGGTGTTGATTCTGTTGGCAGGTGATTGGCCATTCCACAGATGCTGTCGTGTTGCACTGAGGTGCATAGATGGTGTCAATACTGCTGCGTCATCTGGTTCTCCAGCTTCCCTCCTCCTCCTCCTCCTCCTCCTCCTCCTCCTCCTTCTTCTTCTTCTTCTTCTGAGGCATCCAACTCGAACCCACA